CCTAAACTTGCCTTACACGAATTGCCTGCCGTTGTCAGTGACGACCTGCTCGGGAAGCCCAAACCTACAAATAATATTTTGCCAAAAAAATCGTTGGCATTGGAAATCTGTGATGTTGGCCAACGGTTCGGCTTCCACCCATTTGGTGAAGTAATCGATTCCCACAATAATATACTTCCTTCCTCCCGAAGCAGTAGGTAGGGGCCCTAGCAAGTCGATCCCCCACCTAGCGAACGGTAATGCAATGGTCATTGGGGTGTAAAAGGTTGCAGGCCGTCCGGGAACTGGTGCATAGAGTTGGCAGACTTTGCACTTCCTGGTGTGCGCATTAAATAGAGTGTATCTTGTCTCGGGCCCGTTCAGGGCTTTACTCATCTTCTTTTATTAATACCGAGCTGACTGCAAGGTCAACCACGGCTAGATACATATACAGATGTTCCCCTGGATCCGCTTTGGTCAAGACCAGGGGGGAAGATAAATAAAGCTTGAAATCTTCAAAAGTTGCCTGACATTCAGCTGTCCACTCGAACGGGTTGGCCTTCTTCATATTTGGAAAAACGGCATTGCCCGATATGCTCAGGGCTGCCAACCTACCGGTCAGCTTCTGAACTTCTTTCAGGTTCCTCGGAGCCTCCATATCCATGATTGCTTTAACCTTTTCAGGATTCGGCTCAATTCCCCGTTCGCTCATCATGTACCCCAAGAACTTGCCTCCCATGACTGCGAAGGCACACTTCTTAGGGTTCAGCCTCATGTTCGCCTTCTGCATGATTCCAAATACTTTCTCCATGTCCCGTACATGGTCCTCTTTTTTCTGCTCTTGATTAGGATATCGTCAACATAGGCTTCCATGGTCACCCCCAGCACTTCTTTGAAGAGCATTCCGATCATCCTTTGGAAGGTGGCCATTGCATTCTTCAACCCGAACGACATGACTATGTAGCAGAACATGCCATCCGAGGTAACGAATGCAGTTTTTTTTGCGTCCTCTGGGTGCATGAAGATCTGGTGATACCCTCTGAAGGCATCCATGAAGCTCAGTAACTCACACCCTGCTGTCTCGTCCACCAGTAGATCAATCCTTGGCACAGGGTAAGGGTCCATGGGGCATGCACTGTTTAAGTCAGAATAGTCCACACACATCCTCCAAGTGGACCCTTTTGGGGCAAGGACCACGTTAGCTAGCCATTCAACGTGATTGACGGGCCTAATGTGCCTTATCTTCAATAGCATTGTTACCTCCTGTTTTGTGAACTCCCGCCGTTCGGCCGCCTGATGTCTCTTCTTTTGTTGTATGGGTTTGGCGTCAGGGCGAATGGCTAGTTTATGACAGATGAGATCTGGATCAATTCCTGGCATATCTTCTGGCCCTCGAGCAAACAAAACCTGGAACTTCTTCAGAATGGCAACCACCCCCTCCCGTATTTCTTTCTCAAGATCCATCCCGATCGCTATCTGCCGATCAGAGGGAGAATCGAGCTCGATGTATTCGAGGAGGGTGACAGGGCACTTTGTCACGATACGTCAAAATAATATTCAATACTAGCACTTATACGTAGTATAGGTGAAGTAGAGTTCGTATCCATAGGGAAAGGAATAACTCTCTTTTTATGAACTAGTAAATAAAGGGGGGTTTTGATTGAGTGATTTAATTAAAATTAAACACGAATATGAACGAGTTATATGTGATTTAATTCAAAGATAAAAAAGGACTTGGCATTGCTACGTTCCACTTGTTGATATATTTTAGTCGATCATTGTTATATCTATAACTTATCTCCTCTCGAATACTCAATCGAGGAGTATATCCAATTCATCGAGGGTAGTTATTAACAATGACTGTTTATTAATAACCCTTACTATTAGTCAAGTATAGAACAACGCCATATACCGACTTGATAGTAGCATTTAATCTCTTAACTCCTTGATGAAATCAATTGAGATTGATAACCTCAACACAACGGTTTCGGTTTAACCAACAAAATTAATCCCTCTTAAGTTTATTAACCACGACCGTGCATTAATAAACCGAAGTTACTTACTTATGAAACCATCAACGATTAATCATCGGTTCGTTGATTGTTTCTAGTAATAATTAATATATGAAACAAAACTAGTTGATCCTTTAAGTAATGTTCAAAATATTAATATGAAATATGAATAGGGATTAATTAATACTCAAGGAAGAATATTAAAGATTTATGAGAATTGGTGATTTTATTGGGAAGGAAATGAGTGTATTTATAGGCTTTTGGGAGTGACTAGGTCTGATACCCGACCGGGCATATAGGATACCTGAGGGGGTATCTGAGGTACTTTCCAGGAAAGCCACTTTTATGGACACTCAGTTGGGTATGTCGGCATACCCGATCGGGTATGAGACAAATCTTCACAAAATATTGCTCCCACGATCGTTTATTCCTGGATTTGATTTAGACACTCGAATCAAGCAAATACCCGACCAGGTACAAGAGCATTTTTTCTAAATCAATATCTTTCTTGTCTCCTTGCACTTTCCTTGATCTTTTAAGGTCCAATCTTGACCCCTTGGATGAACATTGACCAGTTTTAGCTCAGAATAGTCCTAATATAAACAAATTACAAAAAATTATGAAAACAAAGTATTACACCAAAAGTGCGTAATTTTCACAACTACAAATAATAAAAACTAGCTAAAAATACAAACATACATAATAAGAAATTCACACCATATTCAATATAAAAAATATGACTACATTTTGTATATATAGAATATATAAATTCTATATAATTTCATAACCATATTTTTCGTTTTCTATGTATAAGTGCATGTGTTCTTGTATAATTTGTTGGTACCCTGTAGATAATTCTGAAGTGTATACTGAAGTACATGAGCTACCCTCGAAACCCCGTAGACAATTTTATTGAGATTTAATCACAGTGGACATTTGTTGGTACTAGCTTAGCTCTAAATGGTGGTTTTGGGAGAACTTATACCATTTATATCAAGTTGCTCCGCACCACACGAACCTACAATTTTTATTACCATTATCTCTCTACTCAGAGTTACTACGTGAAGGTAGGAAACTTATTCGGAGCAACCTTATTACTTTTGGGAGAATTGAACCTAGGACATTCCGTAAAGGCAGACTTGGATGGATGACCACAAAGTGAGTCACACCATATTGTTTATATATATATTTTTTACTCCGGTGGACTTCTTGGGAGGGGATCTAGGGAGTCTGGAGTAAACTGGGCTGAAACTCAGTCCATTGAGTTTCGAATCAGGAACCTCCCATAAGGGAGAGTGAATCAGCAACCAGCTGAGTTGAATTGCTTCCTCTCCATCTTGTTTGTACATTCGAGTAGCCGAGTAGGTTACTAATGAAAAATATGTGTTTGAGAGAGGAACGTATAATTGACAATAACAATGGGTTTATTGATGTTAGGTAACTGCGTGTTGCGAGCATGACGATTGTATGTTACATTTTCTGTTCAAATGATGAAAGAATGGTTAATTAATTACTTTAACCTACTGGAGTAATCACACAGTTTGTAGCCACTACTACTAGATTACTACTACAAATTACACCCACAAATTATTTTGTTATCTAACTGCTCTCTTTCCATTGTGGACCGTCCTTTTTTTACTTTCATCATTATTAACACAATAGTAATTCGGTGCACTACTTTAGAGTTTAGAGTAAGAAAATATGCGATTTTTGAAATTTTTGTGTTTTGAGAAGAAAAATTAATGGGGTGCAAGGGAAGAGATTTTTTTAAGGGAAATAGATTGCAAAATCCAAAAAACTTGAAAATGAAATGCAAAGTCTAATATATCATTCTAAAAGCGGAGTATAAAGTCAAAATATCCGTTCCTTTAAAAGGATTGAAAATTGACAAAATTCCCAAATAAGACCATTGTTGTTTTATTTTAAAATATGATTCATTTACTCCTAATTAGGGACGTTTATACTTTTAATCAAGTAAATCATTTTTTAGGAAGAAATTAAAGTTACTCCGATTTGTGTAATAACATGATAGTAAAATATTATTACAAATCCCCATTTTGACATGGAAATATTCATGGAACGTAGTATACGGTTCTGTTTGCAACAGTTTCTGCTTTAAAAAAATTGCTTTTTTTAATTAAATGGGAAGAAGTGATTAAATAAAAGTTGATAGTGTTTGAGAAAAAGGTGATTTTGAAAAGTAAAAGTTGGTAGTGTTTGGTAAAATAAATGTTTTTTGTGTAATAGAAAAAGTAAAAGCACTTTTGACACGAAAGCCGTGAAAAATAAAAGTTGATAATGTTTGGTAAAATAAGTGTTTTTTAAGCCAAAAAGTGTGAAGTGCTTTTTTTAAAACATTTGCAAACCAACCTTAAATGATCCATGACAAACGCTTTTATATATTTATGACAAAACCTTTTTTTTAACAAAGGAAAATTAATTATCATTAATCAGATCATGATAAAGTGCAGGGACAATAAAATCAGGCAGAACAAAACACCAAATATGACAAAACCTTTTAATGTACCAAAATTAATGTATTTTTGTACCAGTGATTCTTTCCGTATATGAACAATGTCCACCAACTAGTCGGTACTCGGTGTCACTTTATATTGTCGTTCCATTTTCATTCTTTTATTAGATATTTTGTTCCTTATTTCATCTCGATTTCATTCTCCCATGTTATGTACTAAAAAGAACGTATGGTGCATGTTTGGCTGACCATAAAGTTAATTGATCTTTGTCATTAATACGATTATTTTTAATAAATAAAATTTAAATATTCAGAAACTAAATATATCAAAAGTTTTATAATGTCGCAAAAAGAAAAATTATATTTGATAAAGATAGATACTCCGTATATAAAGTAAAACATTAAGAACATTTCACTGATCGAAGAATAGTGAACGAGAACCTTTCAATGGAAGGGATGGAGTACTAGATTTTATTTAAAACAAATGTATACATTAAAAACAAAACAAAACTTTATCTTACATAAATATATGTGTAGGTGAATCGAAAACTTCATTTCGGGATAAAAAAAAGTATATATATATATATAAACACATATCCATATAGAGATGAATTGAAATTGAAATCTCTCAATGAATGCAAATGGTTTGCAAAGTTATGAGAGCTTCACAGTGCCAATTATTCATCATCGGAAAAAGAGAAACGGCACAATGAAACTACGGCGTCTCCGGCCATCCGTTGGCGCTGAAGTAATAAAATCAGGTGCCGATTCTTATAGAACGGGAACAGTAACGCCTTCCAAGAATGTTTACAGGGATAACTTTTTTGACCGTTTGGCCATCAACCATCTCTCCCAATGCATACAAGCTGCTTCAGGTTCTCTACTGCCTTGTATATATATCTTTCTTTCTTTGTGATTAATAAATTAAGATGGATTTTATAATGAGAAAATATTTTTGTGGGGTTATAGTGATGAATGTGTACAAGATTAATCTTTAATCCATTTTTAAGTACAGCGTTCTAAAAGGAGTTAGGCGCTACTAGTCGGGCATCAACCCAATGCATAGCGCTTAAGTGATTAGGCGGGGATTGGGGACTAGTGGCAGGCACAAAAAATGTGTTTTTGCCACGCCGGAAACTTGTGTATATATAAAGAACATACACACTATCACACACCATGCTTTTAAATTGCGATTGCCGTAGGGGTTGTGATCGCTGCGGTTGCAGCTAATGCGTCTGCTGCAATGCGTATTGTGGCCGCTGCGACGTGAAATGTTTCAAATTCGCACAAAATAGGTATAAAATATTTTTTCCATTCCTTAAAAAATCTTGTACGTAGTGTTAATTGTATATAACATAAATTTGTTTATTTAAATTAATGATTGATAAAATTAATAGAAGTTTTATGAATATTTAATTTCCTTAAACACTTATATGCAAACAACTAGTCAACCAATAACAAATAACAATATGGAGACTGAAAGAAAATTAAAATTAAAAAATAATAATAACAATATGAAGATTACAAATGAATAACGATTAGAAAGATCGATAAACTAAATAACTATTATAAAAACAATTAAAAATAGTTAGTCTTCTTTCTCTAGAAAAGATTGGGAGCTCCATTAGTGGCTTCGAAGGCTAACGGTTGTACATTGTAATAGTGAGGAGGGTTTAAGGAGAATGAGAGTGACTTGTTCATTAGTAAAAAATGTCCCGTGATTTTCACCCTTTCGAATTTTCACGTTAAAATAGAGTGTTCATACATAATTATACTATATTTACTATTTCGTATTGGATTAGTTTCTACGGAAGTATATATACTTTTCGTAATTAGAAAAGAAAATATTGATCTGATAACTGACAACAATACAGATTACTGAAATGGTTTACATTTTTGTAATATTACATGAAAAAACAAGAACTAAATAACACTCCATCAGTTTAGAAGGAAAATGAAATACATAGCTTATAGATAGACCTGCACAAAACCGGGCCGGCCCGCCCAGCCCGCCCAGCCCGCCCGGCCCGCCCATATAAATGGGCGGGTTTGGACACATATTTTAGCCCACCGGCCCGGCCCGGCCCGGGCCCGTTTAAATCATGGGCGGGCTTGGGTCGTAGTATAGGCCCGGTCGGGCCTAAAAGCCCGGCCCGTTAAATAATATATATATATATATATATATATATATATATATAGATATATATATAATATTATATATATACAAAATTTATAACTTTAAAGAAGGCCACTGCTCTTAGATTGGTTTAATCAATTATATATGTACTTTTTATTGTTGATGTTAGTTTGATATTTGAGTGATTTTTATTTTTTGGAATCGTTTGTGTATTTCATCCAAAATATATTTTTATGTCGTGAGTACATTTATTGCGTTTAAAATGTTGTGTTATTTTACATAAGTTTACAATTTTTACAAATTTAGGAGGATAGTTTTTCTACCATCGTGTACTTCTTTCCCTCACAAAAAAGAAAAAAAAAAGAAAACATACGCAGTATAATTTTTTCGGGCCCGATGGCCCGACGGGCAGCCCGGCCCGCTCTTTTGGGCGGGCTTGGACATATAAGGAGGCCCGTGGTACCGGGCCGGGCCGGGCCCGCCCACTACATATGGGCAGATTTTTAAGAATAAGCCCGGCCCGAACCCGCGTTTGTGCAGGTCTACTTATAGATGACCTTAATGATCCAAAAATGATCCAAAATAAATAAGGAACGTTAGTGTAATTTTTATTGATATGTACGGAGTGTAAGGTGTTAGAGACTGTATAATCAAGTTCATTCCGTCGATCCAACTCGACAAGGAGTTGGACAGGGGTTCGGGGTTATGGGTTTATGGTTATTATTCTCTTTAAATACTCGCTCTCTCATTGTAATCATCATCAGAAAATAATAGTAACATTCTGGCTTGGTAGCGCCCCCAGACGTAGTCATTCTTGGCGAACTGGGTAACCAAATTCTCGTGTCTTTCTTATTGTTTTTCGTATTGTGTGTGTTTAAATCCTAACACGGAGTAGATGTTGTGGCTCTATCTTTGGATAAGGTAAATATGCTTTAAGACTTTAATAGTCTTGTTGGTGACTCTGTTTATCGGTTTATCCGATTTATCAGCCAACTTTGTCACCAAACACATAACTTTTGATTTCTCGCTCTGAGTTATGTAATAATACTCTCTTCGTCCCTCAATGTTTGTCCTACTTTTCTGAAATGGATGTCCCAAAATGTTTGTCCTACTTTTTTTTCCTTATTTGGCAAACAAATCTTTATCAAACAGTGTCAAACAGTGCAAAAAAGTGTCGCTATAGTGTCACTGCAGTGTTAAACAGTGTCGCTACAATGTAAAGTCAAATTCATTTCTTTAATATTTGTGAAGTCAAACTAGGACAAACATTGAGGGACGGAGGGAGTAATAAGAAAAAGTAAGGGTGAAGTTACTTTTCTGACTGTATTGACTGAAGTTGAGATCATTTTAGCTATTGTATCATGTATTTTTTATTTTATTAATTAGTAAAATATATTTTGAATACTCCCTACGTAACTTTAAAATCTTCCCATTTCCAAAGTAGGTAGATTAAGAATAGTGAAAGAGAATATGAATTATTGAGGATATGATGGGAAGATAGTGGAATAATGTGATGGAATGTAAGATAAATCCAAAAAAAATAGTTGTAATAGTATATTATTTTCAAAATTATTGAGGGTATAATGAGAAGATTTAGAAATGTGAAGATTTTTATGTTACAGACGAAAAAAGAAAGTGGAAAGATTTTTTTGTTACGGAGGTATATTTTTTACATAATCGATAGAAGAGCCATTCCTGCCATAAAAGTAAGTTTTTCGGACTTTTGTATGCCACACTTTACCATAAACTAAATTGGCTCAAATGAAAATTTGTAGGACTGCGAAATAAAACAAGAGGGTACGACGGTTTAGTGGAGGCAGCAACAGCAGTTTCTCGAAACTTCGACTCGGCCCAACAGCAGAAAATTGTCCTCCAAGCTCTTCAAAATGCCATTCCCGGTCCCATTCTTTTGTTGGCAAGTGTTTTCTAATATTTCCTTCTCTTGAAATTTTGCCAAATTTTCTATTTAATCTTTTCACTAATATTTCACTTTTCGTAAAGTGTTTGCGATTGGAACTGATTTTCTTTCTTGTGCACAAATTTCAATCCCACAATTTTTATTTTATTAATCCATGTGTCGATCAAACTTACTCAAATGTTAGATCAGGGAGAGTATTTACTATTTAGCATCGTTTCATTTGGGATGTTATTAATTTGATGACTTTCAACCCTAAACTAGATTGGGTCATACGAGTATACCACTACATCAACTCGTCATACATGGTTTAAGTTGTCTAGATGAGATTATTAGAATAAATCAGATTAGACTTCAGCAGTTATAAAATACCCAAATAGACATCTATCAAATCTGACTAGATTTAAATACATTAGATTAGACCAAATCAGATTTAAGAATAACATTTGAGCTAAAACTTTAATACTACCTCCACTCTTAAAAAGTTCGTCATAATGACTTTTCATGGTCAATGATGACAAATTTTGGATAATAAATTTAATTATTATATTTGTCTATAATTTATAAATTTTATACTTTTATGAAAATACTTTGAATAAGGAGCATTTTGATATAATTTTCTTATTCAAATGAATTTCGTCTTAAGAACTATCATTGGTCAAAGTTAATTATCATTCATCATCATCATCATCATCATCATTACCCAGTGCCGCAAAGGCTCCCACCTACGGTGAGGTAGGGGGGTCGGATGTATCATGTACGCAGCCTTACCCCTGTACTAAAGCATAGAGAGATTGTTTCCGGATGACCCAAGGTGAAAATCGCATCGAAAATTGCATTGACTGACTACTGCTTCATAACAAAGAAGCACAGACAGTTTAGTGAGTCATTTTGCTTTATTCCATCATATTCTCAAGCCAAATAATAGTGAATCTTTGGCTCATTGCAAATGGTGGAAAAGTCAAAGTTAATTATCATTAATCAAGAAAAATCAATTTTATGAATGATGAAGGGAGTACAAACTATTAGGAGGTTACAAATCTTACAGTCTATATACCTTAATTATATATTCCGACAAATGTTGTATAGTTAGAAGTATTCTTTTAGAACAAATTAAGTATGTACAAGCTATTACCCCTGGTACCTGATTACTTATATCTCATGTAGCTAAGCACATATCAACAATTATTTTTGAAATTATATGTAAACCATAAATATATGAGTGCGGTTGAAATATACTCCCTCCGTCCCGCAAAGATGTTCCCGGTTTGACCTACACACATATTTAGGAAATAAATTTGACTTTACTGTTTAAACACTGTTTGGCACTGTTTAGACACTGTTTGGCACTGTTTAGACACTGTTTGACACTGTTTTGCACTGTTTGACACTGTTTTGATGTAGGATAACTTTCCATTTAGGGAAAGGGAACTTCTTTTTTAGACATCCAAAAAAGGAAAGCGGGAACATCTTTGCGGGACGGAGGGAGTATAAGTGACATGATAGATGGTTTTAAATAGGGAAATGAGTGGAGAGTCCCACTTTAAAAATGAGTGGATATAGTGTGTCCACCTATATCATATGACTCCATAAGAGAGTGATATGCTACTCCATAAAACAAATTAAACTTCTTGTGTTGAGCATGCAACTGTGTATAGGTACTTATAGAAAGGTTTTATATAGGGGTGGGCAAACCGGTTTACGGTCGGTTTTCTTCGGTTTCGGTTCGGTTTCGGTTTATTCGGGGTGGGAGAATTTGTACCAAACTAAAACCATTTGTGTTTCGGTTTGGTTTCGGTTCGGTTTGATGTTCGATTTACCAAAGTGAAAAGTAATAGGTTTAATTTAGTTCGATTTGATTCGTTTTCTTATGTTTATTACGAGTATAATTTAATTTGATCAAGTTCTTATATTTTTAAATTAGAAAATGAATGTAATAGTCCATCTCATCTTCTTTTATTGATTACTCAAATAAAATGTAAAAGGAAATATAGAAAAAGAAATAACAAAATATTATGAATTAAAACTTCTTACATCTTTTCGTTCACTAGAAAAAGATTCACTTCTCACGAAAAATAAGATTATATTTGATTAGCATTTATAATACGAATATCACATAAAATATAAAAAAAACTAAAGGAGTCGGTGGTACAAATGTTGTAGTATTCACAAATTTATTCATACAAATCATGTAAAAAATATAAATGCAATTTTCTTTTGTTATCGTCAAACTTAACAAATACAAATATGTCGTATTAGGTAACTTTGTCATAATGAATGTATAAAATGTATAAAAGGTAAAATGATATATGTAAATATGTATTTTTCATATCTAAATTATTTATATCTTAAAAATGTAGAGTGAATATAAATACATAGTATATATATTAAGTTGTTTGGTGTTCGGTTCAGTTTGCGGTTTTTCGGTTTTAAACCAAACAAAACCAAACCATTCGGTTTGACCAAATTCTTACCAAACATTTTACTTAAGTGAACCCAAACCAAACCAAACCACCAATTTTCGGTTTGGTTTGGTTCGGCTCGGTTAAACCAAACCATTTTGTCCACCCCTAGTTTTATACAGGAAAAAATATATTTTCAATCCCTCAAATAGTGTCCATATTGAAACGTAGTCCCTGTGTTTTCATTTATGTGTAACTGTTGCCCCTCAATTATCCGAATTGTTGTCGATGTGGTTAGGGGCGGAGGTGAGGGGTGGCCAATTGGGCCACGACCCAGCCCAAAATTTAAAATTGCTTATATGTTAATGTAAAAATTTATGTGTGAAAAATTATCTGTAAAAAATTCTTTGTACCGGCCCTTGGCATGTAAAAAAAAAACGACCCGCTCTGGCCCGAGACATTTGGGATGGGTCCGCCCCGACCCGTCTTGCAAATGGGACAGTCCGCCCCGCCCCGCCCCGCTCATACAATGGGGCGGGTCCGGGTCTTATTATTGACACGACCCGCCCTGACTCGACCTGCTCAATATATAGGTATACCTACTTTTTCAAAATTATACTACAAATATAATTCTACATACATATGTGTGTATACAATAAATCATAAATTCTTTGGTCTTATAATATACAGTATTACGAAGTACTTCGTAATATTTATATTTGAATGCACTGAACGACCAATTATTAGTGTTTTTTGTATATAGTATTTTAATTTATATATTCAATTATTAATATAAATAGATTAATTATTCCACTCCAATGCTTTTTATTAATTTCTGATTTTTGTAGCGTATTGTGACTTTGATTTAATATATTATTTTTTAATAATTATTTAGAGATAAATTTTATATAGATTTAAATGGTAACAACTTCACACAAATAGAAATGCGTACTAGCTAATTAAATTACGACGGGGCGGGGCAGACCCGCCCCGCATGGGATGGGTCATGGATCAACAAGTTTGGACCCGTGCGGGTCACGAGGCGGGGCGGGTCCACCCAATGAAGTCACGGGGCGGGTCCGGGTCTTATAGTACCTGCCCCGCCCCGACCCATTGTCATGCCTAACCGGCCCACCCCAACTCTTACTCCTGGCTACACCCTTGAATGTGGTCCTCATCCTCATTGTAAATGGCAACTCTTAAAGGACCGTATTTATAATAATTTGAACAATTGAGGGGTCAAATTTAGGAACGCTTAGCGATCACATTTCAATATGAGTAATAATCGAGGAATTGGAAGATGTAATTGCACAAAAAAGATGTAGATAATTTTGTGTAAAAATCATTCTTGAATTCTAATAAGGGTATGTGAATGATGGAGCTGACAGATGCGTATGGTGCTTCCACGTTTGACGTTGGGAAGTGAATACTGCGCCGCCTTCACCACACTTTTCTTTACCTGGCTAGTTGGTCCGTGCGAGGTGCGTTCTTACTTTCCTTCAATTACTCTTTAATTATCGCAATTTAAACAAACTTATTTTATTTATTAATTCAATTGGTGATAAATATAACTGTTTGAGAGGTTTCAAATTACATTTGATTCATAGCAACTACACATTTTAAATTGATGTGCAGACTACAGAGTCAATTCCGCACAATTAAGATTAGGCTAAATTGATGAACGATCATATAAGTTCATGCATGTTAGATTTAAAGCAACAAGTTCGTGAGCTAAATAGAAAACATTGACAAAACTTAAACTAAAAAGAAAGAGAAAATTTATTGAGATTCATTCACAGACAATATTTTATTTGTGACAAATTTGCATAGGCAAAATAACACATATTTTGTCTGTGAATCGATACAACAAGAATGGTTCAAAATTAAAAAGGAAAAATATGTTATAGTTGCTTGATAAAAAATTCTACTTGACCACCCCTTTTACTATGACAATAAACATTGAATCCAAGCATTAGGGCTATATGAGTATGCTTAAGCAAAATTGTTTCTTTATATAACACCACCCAAATTATGAAGTTTCACTACCTCTCCCCTACCAATATCCTAATCTACACAAAGCTACTGTTTGGTCAGTTTGATTTGGTTTTGGTTAGTGTATTCATTTGTTATGACTTATTAATTTTAAAAGTTATAAACTTTACCTAGAAAAGTACTCAGTGTAGAAAAAAATAGAAAGAAAAAAAGTACTCAATGTAGTTTCTCGAAAAAAATATTATTAAAAATTTCTTAAAAATTAATGTTCTAAACAAACAACAAAGGGATTTTTTAGACTATTTAAATAACCTAAGAACTAGAAGGTAGGACCTTGTTCCCATCAAACACTCAGCATATGAATGTTCTACCGAATATTGGTTTTATATATGTGTTCGCCTTTTATAATACATGCATTTTGGCTTTTAGGTGAAGAAGGCAGAAGATGAAGAGAGAAGAGAAAAGAATGTTGTCCACATAAAGAAATGCAGGTTCTATTTTATTCTAGTATTAAATATTCAATGCAATACCGCTACTTTTACGGGCTGTTACTGAATAATAGACTTCATAACAATTAATTTCAAATTTGTTAAAAATACATAAATTTATTGTATACAGAATGTTAATGCTCTGCCCTATGTTTGGCACTTTGGCCTGGCAACTTTATTAGGTTCTTAGAGGAGAGCAACTGTGTTGGAATGTGTACCAATCTATGCAAAATCCCTTCTCAAACGTTCATCATGAATTCCTTGGGAATGCCGGTAAATATGGTTCCTAGTAAGTGCAGCAGCTCCATTTCTAATTTAAATCCAAATTTCATTCATCTGTTTTTTATTTTACTTCTCAATCTGCTAAAACTAATGAGATTTATAATTAAAATGATTGAATCTGCTGAATTGTAAAACAATTATTTTTAGGTAAAATTTATTAATAAAATAAAGAAAAATATACTCCCTCCGGTTCTTTTAACTTCACACTTTGACTTCACACAAATTAAGAAAATAAATTTGATTTTACTGTAGAGTACACTGTTGTGACACTGTTTAGAACTGTTTTGATGTAGATTTCTTTGCCAAATAAGAAAATAAGGAAAGTGTGAAGTTTATTTCGAACCTACCCAAAAAGGAAAGTATGAAGTTTATTTAGAACCGGAGGGAGTACATCCTATAAAATAGCTAAAATTTACTTCATTAAATTTAGTTGACTTTGAGAGTTTTTTCCAAAACAATTCTAAATTAGGGTCGAGTTAAAAGTATTTACCAAAATACTCCTGAATTCAAACTACGTTAATGTAAGTCGTGAATAAGTGACGATGTTCCCTTCCAAAAGACGTAGGCAGCCCACGCGTGCACGAGTTAGAAAGAGAGGGGGGGGGGGGGGGGAGCAGGTAGTGGAGCTCGTTACTCCTGTTGAGGTTTATTCCTTCAACCTTCGGGTCCAACACATAAGCCCAAAGGTTTCGAGTGGTGTGGTGAGTGTATATATGAATAAACTAGCCCAAACAAACAAGTAAGGTGGATTAAGAGATGATAACTAGCAAGTAAAAGATCAGGTATTATTAATCAGTTAATAACTCCCCAATACAATACGCTTGCTAAGGCTCGTCGGTCGTTCGTCTTATCCCGCAGTAGAAGAACTGCTAGTGATAAGGTAATAAGCTAGAGTGCTAAGAATAGTAAGTTGTCAACCCTTTACAATGAAATAAATGCTGTTATTTATACCACCAATGGGCAGTTGGCTATGCTGACGTGGAGGGCTGTGTGTGGCTCGTGTCTCAACCACCAAATCTTTAGCATTAAATGCGCTTCCCGCCAGAATCTGGGTTTCTCGCCCAACCTGTGGAGACGGACGTCCATCTGGGCCGGGAGCCTGCTCCTCACTATACTGCAAGGGTTGTAGGCCGTTCGTATCCTGACCCTTGGGCGAATTTGTCATATAGATTAGATTGGGCATCATGTGGCTGCGGGCCTTTGGTGGGGCCAAAGGACACAGTGTTTGCCTGTAGTTTTGATTCACCATCACCCCGCCTGGACGTTCGTAGGGGTGGGCTTCCACCCATTGGGCTGGGCGTTCGTCCGAATGAGGGTGTAAATGGACCGACCCTCCATTTGGGTCATTATCCCAACAACTCCCTTCGTCCCATTGGACTTTGTCACTTTTCCCTTTTTGGTTGTCCCAAAAAACTTTACCACTTTCCTGTTAAAATAACTAATTTGTAGTTTTGCAAATTCTATTTCCTTTGCACAAATCTCAACCACACAATTTTTACTATTCTTATTTCTCACCTACTTTGCACTTGGCAAAGTCCACCGGGACGGAGGTAGTATATTTTTTGCTCCAATTTTTACAAAAAGTATATCAAATTGCATACCCCCTCCGTCCCTATATTATCTTCAAACTTTCATTTTCCGTCCGTCTCAAAATTCTCTTCTTTCTCTTTTTGGCAAAAAATTTGTGGTTCACAAAAATTCTTACACATTCTTACATAATTTTCCACCACACAATTTGTGTGTCCGGTCAAATGAGGAGTTTTTATAGGGAGGGAGGGAGTAACTTTTATGATCTGTGGTTTTTTTTTGTCCTCCCAATTAAGGTCGTGAGTTGTGAGCCATGATCGAATACATGCATTTCCAGGAAAATGAATTGCATGTTTATGAGTTTGGTTTCTTTCATAATGCATTTAAACAAAGACATGGGAGGAACAGGATGGTAGGTTTAACTAAAGTTGGCGGAACATTGACGACTGATCGTGGGGAGATGAGTTCCATGATCTCCAAATACTTCTCAAATCTTTATGCTTCGAGTGGAGAGGGGTTACAGCCTGTTGAGACAAAAAGTTTCCACATGACCAAAATATGGCGCCACTTAGGCATATCCATCTGGAGGAAGTGAAGAGTGCCATTATTATTTATATGCACCCGGAGAACGCACCATGATCAAATGGTATGAATCCAACATTTTTTCAAAAAATTTGGGCATTGTGGGACCTGAAATTACTCCTCTTTGCTCCCAAATTTTTAATCGGGAAGCATCCCTTAGGAATTGAATATAACTAATGTAGTTTTAATTTCTAAAAAAGATAAGACGAAGAGCATAGGGGAGTAGAGATCTATAACTTCATGCAATGTTGTTTATAAAATCTTTCCAAAAATTATTGCAAATGTTTTTATCCCGTGAAGGTCAATTGCGGATAGTATCATGTTGGCTTTTGAAACTCGTCATTTTCTGAAGCAAAAAGATTTGGCAAGGAAGGTTATGTGGCCTTCAAACCCGATGTGAGTAAAGCCTATGACCGTGTTGATTGGGGGTTCCTTCGGTATATTCTTGAACATGTAGGTTTTGGTTTGCGATGGATTGAAATAGTTATGTAATGTATAACAACGGTAAGATATTACATTAAGTTTTATCGGGATCTTCTTGGACCCATTATTCCAAGTATAGGGCTGCGGCAAGGTGATCTTTTGTCACCTTATTATTTATACTGGTGCCCGATGGTTTATGTGCATTGTGGAGGAAGAGCATGACGCAAAGGGAATTTACATGGGGTAGCAGTGTGCAAGGATTCACCTCGAGTATGAAATGGTGTTGGGACAAGCTATAAACTTTACCATATCACACATTTCATTAAGCCCAAATGTGGGTGAGCCGGTTAGGAAGTTTTTTAGCAATTCCTTGGGAGTATCAAGGGGAGCAACACATGAGTTACCTAGGATTACCGGCTTTGGTAGGAAGAGATAAGGAAGCTACCTTGAATTACTTACGAGAGAAAATTTTGAACTGAATCCAAGGTTGGAAAAAGTTATTGATAGAAAAAACTCTAATTCAATAAGAAAAGTAACTTTCACCTGACTTACTTTGATTACAATACAACTCAGTATGCAAAATGGAAAGTTATTTCTTAAATAAAAAAGTTAATAGATAATAAGGTTCACGTACAATTCAAATTATGGAGTTACCAAACGGTTTAATATTACAACATTGCTATTTGTATCAACTCTTATACACACCCTTATATCCACCTCTCTGAGAGACAATTTTTTTGTTTGTGAATAAGAGTGAGTATAAGAGGGTGGGTACAAATATACTTTTTCTTAATATTATCAATTCCAAATAAGAAGACTAGTCTAGAGTCTAGGACCAAGGAACTAATTAACTACTACGGATATCGTGTAACATTTGTACTATGATCTAACGCATTCCAGTTGGGCAGATTTTGATGATATGAGCTGTGAGATGATATTTGGCGAGCATCCTCCCTCACAATCTGAAGATCCAGCACTTAATTATCCTTGCTACAAATCGTGTGATCTATCCCAGAAAAAGCACCACAAGAAATGCATTTAGCAAAGCAGCAAGCAACCTGAATTATCTCGACATAAATGGTGTGGCGACGGGGTGGATATAGGGGAGGGGCCGGGGGGCCTCGGCCTCCCAATAAAAAAATGTGATATATACTACTACGTATCATATGTGTGTGTCAAATATTTAATCCACCAAAACATAAATTCTTTAAACATCGACCTCCATAATCTATCATTTCTAACTTCGCCAATCAATGGCGACCACCTTTTATATCTTTTATATGCTTAAATCCCAAATCTTTCGCCTTTCCATAAATATGATGCCTCTTTATTGTATCAGAAATGATTTTCCTTCAATCTCAACTTGCAGTCTTGCAATAGAATATAAAATTAAGATGATAATGTATGGAACAAAAGACGCTTTACTATGGTTTCACCCTCTATCTTATTCTTATGAAACAATTTATGAGTTTCTCTTTTCTAATTAACGTACTCTCTAAACTAACCACGTTTCTCTATTTCTTACATTGATCCCTTTACAAATATTTGCACTTTAGACAAGTGGGAGTTATGCAAGTGAACAATATTGTGAACTTAAATCTTCTTTATGTAGGAGATCAAGAGATGTTAGAATTCAAATCACCAAAGAAGTGCATTTGTGAGGATTTTAATCCTGAGCTAACTTGTGAGAATATGGAGTAGTATTGTAAAATATAAGGATGTATAAATATGCATCGACCTGATACCACTTCTAGTCGCGCACAAAATACGATTTCCTAAAAGTTTATTATCTATCATATAATAGTAAGTCATGCTACAAGATAAAGCTTTTGGGATAAAAAAAAGGATAAATAGTGTATTTTAGTTATTAATAAATACACTAACCAAGAAAATTGTATATTGAGTGTAAAGTACTCTAAGCACAATATGTTCCAGTTATTTGTAACTAAAATCAAGAAAGGATGTGACTCCCTTGAAGCAACATGTGTATTTGTCACATATAATCCAATCGTTTGGTGGATTTTTTTAAGTAATTTTGTAAGCATCTTCTGTTGAAGTGTAGGTTATTTCCACAAAATTTCATCTTCAAATTTGATCGAGAAGTTAGTTAAAAAAACTAAAAAAACATTGTGTTCATATTTTTTTGGCGCAATGTTTTCAATAATTTATTTAACTGACTTTTTGAATAAATTTAAGATTAATTTTTGTGAACAAATCTAGCTTCATTAAGAATATGCTTACAAAATTTCATCCAAAATACCACCCGGAAGCATTTTAAATGGAGGCGTCTGGATGATTTGTATAATGAAATGTCCTGATTTGTATTGGAGTTTCATACACCTCTATTGATGATATAGGGCTCTCTTCTATAATTAGTCAGAACATGTTGTTATACCAAACAAAATTGATATAAACAGTTACGTTGTATCAAACATTTACAACATTTTTATTTTAAATAAGTATCCATCACTAAAAATTAATTATTGATAAAAAGCTTCCCAAAATGGCTCCATAAGAGCTTCCGTGGTGAGGAAATGGGTTGCTCAAAAATGAATTGCCACATCAGATTAATGGACTTTGAAGTTAATTTTCTACCTCCAGTGGAAATGTGTATACAATAGGTGTTGCTGAGCTGGAACAGAATTAAACGGACATCTTCTACCTAGCCTTCTACTTCCAGCAAGTCTTATCAATACTCATACTCCGTGGAATGCAAACTAACCTGCTCAAGATAAGATGTGTAATGAAAGAATGCCTATTTATCAATACTCAACAAAAACTGAGAGTGGTGACCCTCATTTGTTTTAAATGGGACATTGGAAAGCTGCTATGGTAGAAATTAGGGGCGGCTGTTTTTTAATCTCGCATGTCAATAGGAAACTAATTTCCTAAACCCATTGTATCATTGGAGTCTAAAAATAATTTTAAAAGTGTGTCCAAGTCACCCTAATAGGTTGTCTATATATATGACATGTCCATTTTTAATGGGGTACAATCCACATCTCCACTAAAGATGCTATCTCAACCAATGCATCACCTAAACATCTAAAAACAATATTTGGAATTGAATCAATTGATGACTAACGCACTCAAGTTTATCCATTCCATAACGTTGGAAAGACTTTCACCTAGTGTAAATGACTTGTCACTCGACACTCGCAGCAATCCCAGGTTCGACTCTGCCGTTTAAAGCAACACAAATGCAAGCTTGAAGAGGACAAAGAATTTTTTGCATTAAAGGTTTGATGGAGATTGAAAAGGAAAACCAAAACCAATAACAAGCCCATTTTATATATACTCCGTATATATTAAAATCTATTAGATTTAAATATTCAAATTGGTACTCCCTCGGTATTTTAATGTTCACTACATTTGGTTTGACACATTATTTAAGAAGTAAAGTGGTAGGGGTAGTGAATAGTATAGAAAAAGTAGGAGAGTGTGTACGAGTATGAAAGAGAAGATAAAAAGTGGAAAAAGTAAGGGTAGTTGAGTATTTTATAAAAGGTAAACTTACCAAAAATGGAAGTGTAGCAAACTTTTAAATACATCCCAAAGAGGAAAGTGTAGCAAACATTAAAATACAGGGAATATTAGTTTTGAAGAGAGGGAATATCAATACCCAATCAGTATAGATCACTTGCTACCATCAGGCCCATTTCTCGTTACTGACTAATGACACAATAATTTTTTTTGAAGGCTATTTGAATACGCTAGTGGAGTAAGGATGTTTTTACTTGGACTGTAATTTGCCCCAGATCAGACCAGACCTGACCAGACCTGACCAATTCAGACCATACTTGGATAGTTATAAAAATACAAAGAAACCAGACCTTACCAGACCAGACTAGACCAGTTCAGACCAGACTAGACCGGACCAGCAAATTACAGTCCAAGTAAAAACATCCTAAATGCCAAGTAACACATACTGAAAATTGCAGGGCAAACTGAAAACAACCGGTAGGGCCAGACCAAACCGGTAGACAAATAATTAGACCCTTAAAGTTCGACCACCCCAAGATATTTTTGAGTTCAAACTGAAAAGGTTTTCAGTACACATCCTCGCATTTTGTCAGTCACACTTTGTAGGAATCAGGGGCAATTTGAACAAGCAATTTATCTTCAAAAATACATAATTTGTAAGTAATTTTGTAATAAATGTTTGTGGGCCAGAGAAAATGTTCAAAACATGTATGGATAATGTGTACACCAAACTAGTCATGGACCCGGTTCGGGCCGCCCGGCCCGGGACCGGCCCGGCCCGCTACTGTGCAGAACCGGAACCGGCCCGGTTCTCGGGTCCGGGTCCAGGTTGGGCCTAGGCCCGGTGGGGGGGGGCGGGTCCGGGCTCGGGCCTTGTATTTGACGAACCGGCCCGGCCGGGTCGGGCCCGGGTCCGGGCCGAATTGATTTTTTTTATTTTTTTTTCATTTTTTGGGGTTACCCGGATGGCCGGATTGGGCTTGATGGTTAGGAGGGGTTTGGGGGGGTGAGGGGGGGCTAGGAAAGCAAAAAAAAAATGACCAAACCGGAGGCCCGGCCCGGCCCCGGACCCGGTGGCTACCCGGGCCTTCCTTCCCAAAAAAAAAGCCCGGCCAGGCCCGGCCCGGGTCCATGACTACACCAAACATCTATTTTTTTAAAAACAAAATGAAAGGGGCAGGTCAACCAGTTTTGTCATAGTAATGATGGAGAACAGAACTTGAATATGACCAGTTATAGTTCTGGACCTCTGGTTCGATTAGGGAGACCACAGTTTCTTGGGTGAGATTTTAATGACCAAAGTAACTGGTTCCAGTCTAGGCATGGCCCGGGTGGCCGGGTCCAGTCCGACCGGCCCGGCACTGTGCGAGACTGGACCGGTGAACCAGTCTCAGTACCGGGCCCGAACCAGGAGGGATTAAGTGGGCAAGTCCGATGATAGATATTTGGGGACCAGACCGGTTGGTCCGGGCCCGGTCCGGGCTTTTTAATGTTTTTGGGGGTTTTTTTGGGTTTGGGCAGGATTTAGGTGTGATGGGTGTTTTCGAGGGGTTTGGGGTGGGGGCGGGATGGGGGTGGGAATTAATAAGAAAACCCAAAAAAAATTAAACTGAACCGGCCCAGTACCGGTAGACTCCCGGGCCGGTCCCGGGCCTTACCCAAAAGATTCTAAGTCCGGCCGGGCCCGACCCACAACCGGAACCTGACCGGGCCCGGTCCACCCCTAGTCCCAGTCTAGTTCTGGTGTGAAACCATGCCCAGCTGGCCAGCTCTACATTCAGCCTGTCTTCAAAAGTGACCACTTCTCAAACACAAATGCTCTTGCTGAGTTATTCCTAAGAAAAATAGTTTATGTTGAAAATATTCCATATATGTGGGATAACAACTCTGGAGGTAAATCTGTGTCATCACAAACCATTAACGACCATAAATTATATCCCCCACCCACCCCGTTGATCAAACTAAAGAAATGCAAAAGTGAACAGTGATTCAGTACAAAAGAGCATAAACACGATTAGCTGTGGCTTTGAAACCTATTCAGTCCCATTTCCAGGACTGATGTCATCGTAGGAAACCAAAGCCCTCTTACCATCCAAGGAGCCGGTTGCTTTGGAATCACGATGTGATGCAGCTATTACATCACTCCTCGATTGCTTCCTGGGAGCAGTATCTGGTGAACTTGAACGGCTTCGAGACCTTGAATTGGACCTTCCTCTACTTGAAGGTTTCTGATCATCCACACGAGGCCCCAGACGAGATTTTAATCCATCCCTGATTGATGGCCGTCTAACCACAGGGCTACGACTGCGTAAAGGGGTCCTCCTCCTGTTGTGCTGCTTCTCGGCCAAGTCGGTATTCTTAGGGCTGCGAGAACCACTCCTGCTCCTGTATCGGCGGTTATAGCTAGTACAAATGGTGAAGGAAGAGAAAATAGTCTTTAGTATATTACGGATATGCAAAAACACAACTACACACAAACATACAAAGAGGAGAGACGCAGCAGACCTGGATGGGCTCCTGCCTCTTGGAGACCCTCCATACCGTCTTGGTGGAGAACGATAGCTTCTGTAGTTTGAATACCTAAAACAAATTATACGTAGTATATTTTAGCTGTGAGTATTTGAATTAAATAAAACACGTGAACAACTTCTTTCAGCCTTATTTATAGTTAACAATTAACAATTCCAAGGAGACTATGTGGTCACACACATCAAGAGTATGTTTGGTGGTTGTTGAAAAGGCTTTGTGGGTTGAATTAAAAGTGTTTGGATATTTATTTGGCTGACATAGATGATTGAGTGTATATACGTAAAATGGTAAGCTAAATATTGTATTTGAGAATACATAAAAGGGCTAGGGCTGAAACTTTGGCTGAAATTTAAGCTGAAATTTTGTATAAATTAATGATTGAAAAAGGGCCATTTGCCCCATTTTCGGCCCATCCAATCTTACCAAAGGAGCTCTGATATGTATACATTACCAAATGAGAAAATAAAGTCATGGGGTCCATGTCAGTTTAACACAGCCCATGTGACTTCAATGCTTCCATATTTGATACATAGATAGCACTCCTTAGAGTTTACCTATCAGGATTTCTTTGCTGAACATTCCTCCCCCCGTAATGGGGCCTATACGGTGGGCGTTCTGGAGAGGGAGTACGGTAGCGTCTAACAAAAGAATATTCTTTAGTAAAGCCACGCCCTTTCCTGATACGCTTGGGATGTCCATCAGGAGATTTATCATGGACAGGTTTATCAGGACTTTTTAGCCTCATAGTCTCCTCTTTTGTTTGCACAGAAATTTTAGTGCTTTCGCCATCCTGTTGCAGCTTGGGGCTTCCTTTAGGACTTGGGGTTGGGCTGCGTTGTCTTATTCTTAGCTTACCTTCAGCACTTGGTGAAGAAGCACTCCTGTCAATTAGTCATGTACAAAACACAGATTAGACTTCATCCAAAATCTTCATGAAGCTTAAAAACTCTCTCTATGGATTAAAAAGAATGTAACAAGCATTACATAACAACCTGGACTTATCCAAATGATGATTAGAATGAGCATTGCCTACAACAGCTCTATCACGGCTGTCTTCTCTTCCATGACCATTACTTACAAGCTTATCATTCTTCTGAGATAATTCAGCATCTACCAGAGGATTTCCCACTTTTTGCTTCTCTTTTTCCAGTTCTCTCCCAGTTTTTTCACCTGTGTGTGACTTCTTTAAATCTGAGGGAAATGGACAGCAACAAAATTATAGAAGCTTCAATACAAATCCAAGCACAAAAATTCAAATGTGGACATATTTTTTTCCTAAATACAATTCCAAGCACACAAATAAAAAAATCAATAAGTGGGGTTCCAAATTTTGGGGCAAAGGAATGGAATGTTAATGTTAAGAAAAACTTATCAAATCCATTTACACCATTATAGTTCTTATGTTGAGCACAGTTTTGTCTTTACCTTTATGTGCAATGGGAGCACGCCTATCGGCAATTTCATCATCAGACTTGCTGTAAGAGGTGCTGGTACTCTGAGAATCTGTACTGCTTGAACTCTCAGAACTGCTGGTCAAAATGTAGAGTTCAAGAGGTCAAAACAAGACAAATCAAATGAAAAGCAGAACAGAGTTTCTCTTGATGAAGAAAAATATGTTACCGGTTTTTATTACGCTTCAATCTTTTCTGACGGAGGTTCTTTTTTTTAACACTCCTCCCTTTCTTCTTATGTAGACTCCGTCCTTTTTTTGTTAAACTCCGTCTTTTCCTGTGCCTTCCATAACTGGAAGAGCTTGAAGACTGTGATCCAGAAGATTCCGAATAGGAATCAGTTTCTGAAGAATGGGTATCAGAATCTCTGTCAGAGCTATCTGAATCAGATGAAGAGTATCTCTTTCTTCTCTTTTTTATATCTCTGGCAGATGTCTTGGGTTTTCTTTTTCTAGGATTATCAGAGTCATCAGAAGACAAAAGCTCTTTTGCTGGTCTCTTCTTTTTAGCTGGACATCAGGAGTGAGATACCAAAGACAAATTTATAAGAGGATAAATTCATATTAAACCAGTGATACGGTAAGGCAGCCTGCATAAGTATCATAAAACTAAACTGGGTACCAGATCTAATGATACCTTTATCTTCACCAGTTTTGTCATGAACCTTACTCTCTAAGACCTCACCACAATCAATAATTTTCACGAGCGCAGATGATTTCCCATCAGACGTTCCGACCTGTTCCATTTTCCTCAAAATATCCATTCCTTTCACAACCTTTCCAAAAACTACATGCTTCCTGCAGATGAGCAAATAAATTATATAAAAAAAATACCAACATGTGAAGTCATGACTAAAGTAAAACATTCAATCAAAAACCATAAGTGTTTATAAGATTTGACATGATCATCTAAATGAAATTGGGAAAAAGTGACATGACAAACAAAAAAAACACAACGCATACCCATCAAGATGAGGTTGTCGTTTAAATAGTATAAAGAACTGTGAACCGTTTGTGTTTGGGCCACTATTTGCCATGGAGAGAAGACCAGCCTCAGAGTGGTCCAGTTTGAAGTTTTCATCTGCAGGCGTAATGGTGGGGATTAAATTAAATTTAAAGCACCACTAAATGCTAATATCCCTATATATAGGGTCCTACCTGCAAACTTTCCTCCGTATATACTTTCTCCACCAGTACCTGCAAACCATTAAACGAATGTTTCCTTATAAATATGTGCACGAGGCAGGAAGTTGAGCAAAGCTCCTGCACCAATTGAGATCTAGGAGGACCCTGAAGTCTGGAAAGCTGAGAGCATACCATTGCCTTTTGAAAAATCACCACCCTGAGAAAAAGGGAGACAAGAAATATACATATCAAAACCTAATTACTTATCTTAAAGACCATGAAGTAAACCTTCTTAAGAAAACTAACACACAGCAGATGTGTGAGCAACAATTAGCACAACTACATATTGTATTAAAGGATGCTTGATAAGTTAGTTTTAACTATTGTTAGAGCGTAGGGAATAATAGTTCGTGGAAATCTTATTCAAGACATACTGACTCACAGCCTGAGAGAAGAATAGAAGATGGTGGCATGATATTGTCAGTTCGTCACCATGGTTGTAAAATCAGGAGGGGAACAAAACCATGAAGTTACAAATGAGCATAAATACACATTAATTAAATAAAATAAGCTTTTTAATAAGTCACATATGTAAAAACAAATTTATTAAGTAATTAAGATTTCAAAAATGAAATCCAATGTTTAAATAATCCAAAAAAATTGAAACAAAGATTAAACTAAATGCTACCAAAACGAAAACTAGCATGCCATACGATAAAGCATAAACAAAATAGTCCTAAAAAGTAAACAAATCCTATTGAGAAGGAAACTACCAACCCATAAGCCCATAAGATAAAATTATGTGGTCCAGATTTTCCACAAACCACAGTCTCCCACGAGACAGAGAAATGAACCCTCAACATACTACGCAACTACACAAGCTTCCAGGCAATCAAGGGATTGAGATTATAATCATGTCTGAAACGTGCAGAATCACTTTCTCCTGCTCCAATCGCAGATTTGTCTCCTTGAAACGCTGCATTTCCACCGTTCAATGTGGAAAATACATATAAAAGCACCTCAAAACTAACAGCAAAAGCCAAAAACTGCGCCTTACTTTCTCTCTGGTCCAGAACCAAAAACTAGAACCCCAGCTGCAACTATCTCTCTGGTAACAGCAAGCAGCTGGTGGCGCGCCAGAAATACACCACCTCCGTGAGGTTTAATGCTGATTACACCCTAATACTAGTGGCCATAATATATTGCAGCATCACCAACAACAACAACATCCAAGTCTTATTCCCAAAAGATTTTGGGGTCGGATCAATTTTGCAGCATCACCGCACAGGAAATATATTATTCTACAATGTAAATCAATTATTTAACTACATTCATTATTGCAAAAGAAAAAAAGCATATTAATGGTCATATACATCCTCGTAATCATTCAAGTGTAAAGTTGAGTCATTGAGTCCCAAAACTTGTGCCTTGAATTGAATTAATAAAGCGGCTTGTTTATAACTATTGACACCAAAGTGAGGGAAGAAATATAATACTCCGCAAAGCATTGAAACATACTTGTGCCATAAACCCCTTGATTATGCGGTGAAATATGCAACCCTTGTAATGAAGAGGTTTTCCGGTTGAAACTCCAACACCTTTCTCACCTAAGAAGCAAAACATAAAAGTGATAACACCCGTGACGTCAATAACAGAAAGAAATGCACCACTCAAATGCATTAGTGAGAGACTGCAAGCGAAAAAATAAATTGGGTTGATTAAAAACTAAATGGAAAAAATTGTAAAAACTAGACTACTACTCGCATGTTCCATTTTTAGGGGCGATTCCAATTATTGACTCATTACAGAAACAAGAGCAAATTGGGCCAGATATGTCCATAGAGAGTGATTTTTAAGTAAACAAATTCAAACTAACTTTTTGATCTGAACTGCAAAAATACGTAATAGAAAAAACATAAAATATCTACATAGCACACCTTTAGTGGAGTAATGTATACCTCACAAGTTATCAACTTTTCTGGTGACAGGTTCAAACTATCCCAAACATTCAAAACTTAAAAAATGATAGGACAAAACACTAAAATGGCTCTTGGAATTATAGTGTCTTTTCTGTTATTTAAATTCAAATTCATCTTCCTTGCACCCTTCCTCTCCTTGTAGGCTTGATGAGAGGAGAGGATAATGAGGTTCCTACATTCTAATCTTTACAACTAATACTGCATGCAGGTCTAAGGAAAATACCAGTGCAGAGTGCCCGAAAGTTTTCAGCTGTCCTAGGAACAATGTCAGAAAACAACTGCACAATCCAAAGAGCAACTTTTAGATGAAAATGAGGTTGCAGTGAATGAACTTAAAAAAATAAGCATCAGGATTAGAACCCCTGAGACAAGATAACAAAAAATGGCTATGATATCAGAATGACCTCCATAACAATCCTTTGTGATGGTGCTCCATCAAATGACACTTCAAAGTAGACAAGTGGGTTCCTTTTCTTCATCTTGCTCCACTCTAAATACTGAAATATAGACACAACTTCAGGAACATGCTGTAAAAACTCGCCTTATCAATTGCTTTTTGACTAACTACAAAACTGATATAAGCCATAATCGTTCATTCAATACTTCATGCTTTCAGAATCTCAATAGTTGTGTTTTCTGCCTAGCTCAGTCCGCCAAGTATTTCAGTAATAGTTCGTCCAAATGACAAGTAACATATTCGCGAATAAAATATAGGTCGATTGTAAAGACAAGCTCTCAATGAACAACAGTGGACATTAGAAAAGTCGAAAGCTTGCTATAACAAGAAGAAAAAAGAACGCCAAAAACCTGAACCCTAAAATCCATCCGACTACCACGGAAAGCAATTAGCCTTTATCTTCTTTCAAAGGATAGTATGAATATTAAATGAGAAACGATTATACTGCAAAACATACGAACTGGAAGCACAGATAATACATCAACAGTTATTCAATCAACAAAAGTGAGATCGAATCCTCACAGAAACAGGTCGGAAACTCTAACTGAGTGAAGTAAATTAATACGAGTTAGAATAGCTCGGCATCCATTGATTGCACTGATGCTGCAGCACTGGTGTTAAAGTTAAAGCTCGTAGGGATTCGAGTACCGGAGTTCTTTGCCGACGAAAACAAAATTATAATTATAAAATATAAACCTCACCCCGTCTATGAGCCCAGCACCGGCCCGAAATGGTACTTTAGAAATTCTTTTTTTATCACAAATTCTCTAGTAATTGTCTTAAGATTTTTCATGGTTTTCATGGTTTTTAAGAAGAAAATAATATAATGATATAAAAAAAAATGAATAAAAGTGAGAGTATAAAGGTATTTTGATAGAATCAACTTACTAAAAATCAAAGAAAAATAAGTGATAAAAACATCCCAACAAGAGACAATTATTATGGAATGGAGGGAGTACGTAGTATTCCTTATAGTTTTATAATTTTTCCTATTTTTATGTTTATTGTCTAAAACCTTTTGTTGCTTTGACTTTTAATTAATTAATTTGTTATTCTATTATTCTTACTTTTCTGCACAAACCTCAATCGCATCATTTTTATTTTATTATTATTTATATCGGAGAAACTTGAGAAAGTTTTAAGAAGAATTTGAATAATTAAGAATTGTTACATTTGTTCCTCTAAAAGACTAAAATTAATTGCGACACGAAGTGATGTCATTATAAAAAATGGAATTATATGATCAGTAAAATGAAACAAAGATAGTAGAAATGGAGGAAAAAGTAAACTGGAAAAAGATAGAGGTATCAAGAGAGTATATTCTCGATATTGTTTGAATTCTTTCTATTTTGTATTGTTGTCAGTAATATTTGCTTATCTCAATACCAAACAATTAATTCTACATGTACCAACATTTAATCCACTTTTCCTACCTTATATATTCCTCACTTTCATCCCATTGTACTCTTAATCCTCTCTCTCATTTGTCTAAAGTCATCTCTCTAGTTGGGTCAAACATCCCACTAATCTTATTAAAATTAATATCGCCATGGATAATTCTACGAACGGTGGCACTATCTCTGAGTTTATTATTCGTAATGTCCATGGTCAGATTATCCATTATAATGCGAGTTACCACTCCAATTCGAACATCACCTCTATATTTGTCATGTTCTGATCAATATTAAAATAATTCTTGAGGATAATAAAGCACTGTTGAGATTATTGAATGTGACAGTTTCCAGGTAATCTAGACCCTTGGAGGTGTTGATTGTTTGGCCTCGGTGAAAAGCTCTATCAAATTTCAAAGCATTTGAAGAAACTTTTTAAAATGACAACTTTATTTTAAACTTTGTAATAAAGCGGCAACTAATGGAAAATTCATAGGAATTGTAAAATTTGATGCTACTAATTATATATTCATATATGTCATTAAAGTTCCGCACATAATGGTTTTGTTCTCATACCTTGAACATCCTTATTTTCAAATAAACTGGTAAGATATTCCCTGACTCTTATCCCATAACATATGAACTAACAACGAGGATAAAAACACAAGTGTGCCTTTTCATTGCTAAAACTACTCACAAATAAGTTTAGGTAACTAATTTTATTAAATTATATCATGAGAGGTTTATTGTATGTGTAAAAATGGTTTTTTTTAATTGGTGGTTGAATGCACGTAGCAAATCTTTGGTTGACATTTGCAAACACAACCTCTTGGGAATAATTATATGGTATATCTGGAAGATCTATACGAGCCTAATTTGGGGGTCTTTAGATCCTCACTCCTCCGGAGTTTATGATTGGTCAAATTAAATCATTCAGTTTTGGTTTCAGAGCCTCCAAAATGATAATTTTAATGAATAGCAAAATTCTGGCTGAAGAAGGCCTTATCCCTCGCAACTTCAAATTACAACATAAAATTAAACCTTTATTCAGGTTAGATGGAGGAAGCCTAACAATCAAATGAAGCTGGATACAGATACGTCGTTCATACCTGGACAAGCTTCTGGTGGTGCGATAATGCGTAACGGCAAAGGCGAACTCATCTTTGCGATCTCTTTTCCCGATCTCATTTGCTTCGCCTCTCGAAGCGGAGCTATTGGCATTACTTCAAGCTATTCGGTGGGGCATTCAAACAAGGTCATCTTAGTTTTCAGAAGGAAACAGATGCACATGAGGTGTTGAAGATTATTTATGGAAACTACAAGAGTAAATGGACGCACAATGTTCAGTTTATCAAATGATGTCTGCCAGTAAGCGCATTCCCTTTAGCCACACATTATGTGAAGAAATTGGGCGGCTCACTACCTCTCTATTCAGAATGCGGCCCATTTCATTTGTTTCTTTCAGATCAATTTGTTACCTTCTTTGGTTAGAAATGCTTGTCTTTTAGATTTTTTTAGCATTCCTTCATTTTGATGTAAAAATTAATTTCTTGGAATTGGGTAAGGTGTAGTACCCCCAGATTCTACCCTTTACTTGTTTGTTGTTCTCATGTATTTGGAAGAGGTATGCCTCTTTGGGAGATTTTTTGGTTTGGTCTCCCTCTCTACATGTACGTGGTTTTATTTTAATAAAACCTAACAAATGTTCCTTGGCATTTGCAGCACCGATGAGTGGTTTGCCTATCGGGTTAAAATAAAATTGTTGAAATGGGTGTTGCACTATATTGAAATGGGTATAGTTTTTATAATATGTTCATTATTTTCACATTACAAAATGAGTAGAGCAGTCATAAAAATGTGCATAATGCATTTGGAAATGTTTGTATGGCACTGACAAATTAATAAAATGTTTCACCGGCAAGCTACTCTAAGCTTGCTGAATCAGCATCGTACTGGTAAGTAGACAAATGAATTCGAAAAGTACTCATATTTTCTCTTAATTTGAAAAACAGATGAGTCGAATTCAATGAATGAATCTTGAAACGAGATGACTTGAAAAGGCTTTGAAAATGGGTGGGATTTTTTCACAGAACACGTCATTAAGCCAATGGTCTAGATCAACGTTCTCTATAACATATGGAAATTGTTCAAAGGGGAAAACTTGAAATAAGATATTTAATTTCAATGCAATGGGAATAACCAAAGAGAAACAAATTGGCATCCTTAATCTAACCAAATTTTACAAATTGAATTGGATGCATGCTTTTAGACTTATTTAGTACTCTGTATTTTGTTTGGATTTCAAATTTTGGGCCGAGTTTACCGAGCTCACAACACAATGAGATATACACATTGCGTAGACACTTGTATATTCAAACAACCTAATAAAACATTATACTTGTTGAGAACAGTTTTAAGGAATTATAATGTAAGTTGATGTTAGCATCACCACTAAAGGCCAAAGTGTAGCCACGTTCAAGGTTTGCTTGCGCATGAGGGGGTGAGAATGTCGTCTGTAATGCGGTGTCTTGGGAATGGAATTCTCGTTGTTGTTGAGTTGTAGGTAGTTGACGATTAGCTCCAGTGGCGGGGATGGAGGCGGGGGTGTTAGGTTTTCTCCCGTATTGGGGAGGAGGGCGCCCAGAGCTGTAAGGTTCTGAGCGAGCTGAGGTTAGTGATGATGACGGAGAGCGCTATCGGCATATCCACGGGGGCGGTGATCTGTTGGGACTGAGTAAGCTCGTTTCTTTCCTTATGCTTTCCTTCGATGCCGAGGCGGGCACCAATTCAAGGGCAGCCAGAATAAGCTGGTTGCCAAGGTCAGCGATGGGGTCGATTGTTAAGTCGCCCGCATTCTTGAGGTCAGCCTCCTCAACCGCCTTTGACGTCGTGGCATCCCCATAATTCTCCTACATTATCTGTGGGTCCTGTAGAGCTTTGTCCATGTCATTTTATTTCGATCTAGTCCTTCCCATTTTTGAGTCAGTGGTGTCTGTTAGCGACAATAGTACTAACTTGATTGTTCTAGCTCTCAATGAGAGTCCCAAATGACAAACTAAAGTCTTAGAGAGAAGGTAAAGCTAGAGAGAGAATGTGACACCGCACCCGAACATCTCAAAATTTAACTTAAAATTTAAAGTTTATGTATTGATTTCCCTATTATCAAACAATTGTAAAACTATTTATGATTTACGTAATGCATGGTTGATCATACTACCATTTGGGCTCGTATTATAGTAATAATGGGCTTTCAAATACTTAATTGGGCTATCTTATTAGATATAAGGGCCCAACAGTATGTAAATAAAGATACAAAACCTTTTGATACAAAATAAAGAAGGCCGGGCAGCCCAAGCGTTAGTTTGGGCCCAACCTGCTAAAAATAGTAAGTATTCATGAATGGCGTCCTAGGCCCACTCGAGGGTAGCCCACACGACTAGTAGCCCAAGTTCACTTGGTTTAAATAAATTAGAATGAGTACAAAAAGACATCTTATGGCAAAAGATAAAAACAATAAGACCCATCTTTTCATTTTTGGAAGTATTGGTAGTATTTTGGACCCCAAATTAATTGGGATCACTTGGAAACCACCCCACATCTTCTTGGCACCTGCAAGATAAAGAGTATAAGTTAGAAAAGTTATTTGGGGCGGACCAAATAGGAGGGGGCTGAACAAGTGATAATCAAATGGACCCTCTCCCCCATTTGATTGAAAGATATTTGCTCTATTATTGCACATGCCAACCCACACTCCCTCATTGACTTTTGAGGCTAAGAGAGGGGCAAGATAACACTCTCGCAACCCCCCATTCGGATCCCAAAAAGATACTCCTTCCGTCCCGTAATTAAGTTCCTACTTTCCTTTTTGGGATGGTCCATATTAAAGTTCCTACTTCAAACCTTTCCTTATTTGGCAAATGATTTACATCAAAACAGTGTTCAAACAGTGCCAAACAGTGTTCAAATAGTGCACTTCACAGTAAAGTCAAATTTATTTCTTAATATGTGTGAAGTCAAACTAGGAACTTAATTAAGAACCGGAGGGAGTAATAGAGAGGAGAGGAGCCACACAACTCAAAGAAGCAAAGAAAGAGAAACGGTCTGCAGGTTTGCTTTCCAGTGCATAGAGTTGCTTGTTTGATTCTTCTCTTGAGCTTCAATCGTCCAAATAAGGCGTGTGAGATGCCTACGGAAAGCTCTCAAGACGAGGAATCCGTGAAGGTGCGGTTTGAAGCAAACGAAGTAGTGGAAGGCTTCCAAATCGTGGAAAGAAAACACAACCTCGCGGAATAGGATTTACTTCTCCAAAGTGAGTTTGAATCTGAAACCCTCCTTTTCATTATCTATATGATATGAACGA